CCCCAAAACCCCAAAACCCCAAAACCCCATAAAATAATGAAAAGTGAGGTTTTAAGAAATGCTTAAATTAATCTTTTTATTCTATAAAGTTTAAATCCTTAATTGAAGATATTCATTTTAGATCCAATTATATTGCTTAATTATTTCAAATTCAATTAAAAATCTCATTTTAGTATAATTATTTAATCATTGGTTTTCAGCCACGCTTTCAATCCACTAAATACGCTTGCCATATTACCAGAGACCCTTTTGTATCTTGCCATCTGCGTTTATATAAATGCCTTCTCCATGCTGTTTTCCATCATACCATTATCCTTCGTACACTCTTTTATCAGGCCAAGTGTATTTTCCAAAACCCTATTTTTTATCATCATGATATTCTCCTTCATAAAGTCTTCCATCACTCCAAGTATATTTGCCACTTCCTTACAATTTATTGTTATACCAAGAGCCTGTATAGACTCTTCCATCAGGCCATGTGTACTCACCCTTACCTTCAATGTTATTATCAATGAAATCGCCTTCATAAGTTGAACCATCTCCCCATTTGAACTAACCATGTCCATGTTTCTTTCCTTAGTTATATTATCCATTATAAGAGGCTCCATCAGGCCATGTTTCTACTCCGAATCCTTGTTACATATCTTCTAACCATGAGCCTTCATATTAAGATCCATCAGGGCGAGTATATTTACCGTTCCCCTATGACCTGTCTTTAACCCAATCACCAAGATACACATCTCCATCTGCATGCTTTAAGATTCCATAACCAGTAGCGAATCCTTCGTGCCATTCACCGTGATACTCGGAATTATCAGCCCAAAGCATACTTCCTGGGCCATGCATAACCCCCTCTTTGAGATAACCTTTGTATTTCTTTTTACTTTCAAATTCCAATTCATAGGTATACTCAAGATCCTCTAGCCTATCTTGCCATTTCTTCTCAACTATCTTATAAATTTCATCATGCTAGAAATCCCATTCAGTCTTCTTACCACTTAACTTTCTAGGGGCACCATTTGTTGTTTATTATGAGATAATTGATTTCTGAGTTCTGATAGACTTTAATTCTGGATTTTTTTGTCTTATCTCTATTCCGATATTATGATCTTAGCTTCCGCAACACTTTAAACGCTAATTTCCCATTTTTTATCAATATATTGAAAATAATATTTACAAATTTAAAGATACCTAAGGTCAATTTATGAGTTCTCGGGGTTTTGGGGTTTTGGGGTTTTGGGGTTTGGGAAGCT